ACAACTAAAAACAATACTAACAATAAACGATAACTAATGTAAAATAGTTGTATTTTATCTTCCAATATAATTTCAATTTAGTCAAATATGCATGAATTTGTAACACACTGTACTTTTCTTTACTTTCTTTACTTGCTGGAGTGATTTAGATCAACAAACGGAATTTAAGTTTAGGTTAATACCTTTGGTGTATATCGAGGATCTAGGGTTATTACTTTTACAACCCTCCAAAGGTTCAAAGGATTAAGATTGTAAGAAAAAACTTAAAAGGATGGGAACACAACTTCACAGCAGACTCTTTCTTTGGTTACAGTTACCATGTTTACAAATGGCCAACCAACGTTTAAACTGAAACTACACAACAAAGAAGAAAAACACAAGATGGAAGGACAAACAAACAAACAAACGTTTGAGTAAAATGTAGCAAACATGCAAATGTTATTTCCTTGGGTAAGCATTTTGTTCATTTGGTGACCTGTAGCACACAGCTAGATAAAACTACAGGGAAAAGAATCATAAACTTGAAACTTCTTTACTCCTTGTTTACATTTATCTAAGGAAATTCAAGCCAAACCTATGTAACTTCAGCAGAATGTAGTCTGTGAAACAAACATTTCTTAGCTGGTTAATAAGTAAAATGGCACACCTTGATAGCAACTCCACGCCGCTCTAGTTACTGTTCATTTAAATTCATTGTTTTAAAATTAGTACCAATACACTTGTTCTCTACTGACTTGCATCATTTCACTTACCAGGATTATGTTGAAAAGCCTGGTCAAAAAGTCCACTACCCTCTCTCCTAGACATCTCATTTCATCCACAGGTATGTCACTACTAAACCAATGGTTATTCTATTCATCAAAGCTACCTTTTTTTCTTCCTACTTGAAACATTCTCTAGTATGAGTCTTTTTGTTTCTTTGTTTTTTATTAAATGTGCTCCATAACTCATAACAGGGACTCTGTGGAACAATGAATAGTGCATTGGACTTCTAGATAAGAAAACATTCAAAGGTTGAGGGTTTGAGTCCCACATGTGGTTCAACATGTAGTGGTTATCGTGCTTGCTTATACACCATTCTTACATGCAGAAGGTACTGGGTTCGAGGTCCATAGGAACCAAATACTTGGTACCTCCAAGGAGCAACCTGTTGCAGCAGACGTGCTGTTAACACAACCATTCTTGTAGTGTACGATCAATGAAATTCAGATTTATTTAATTTAAAAAGCTACAGTACTCTAGTCTACTCTCTTGTGCTTCATAGTTCCAACTCCTACCTTTACAAGGTTTTGATTCCACAATGTTTTATACAGTTGTGGGCATCAGGGGTCACTATCAATATACACGAGACTACTTGGTATGTCCAGCCACTAATAAGTAAGTACTGTATCTGATATAATATCTGTATACCTGGTATTTACAACTTGTTTAGAAAGTTCTATACTAATACAATAGCTTTCATTCACAGAATGTGTAATGCAATAAACATACACTGCATACTGCACCTGCCCCTGTTTAAAGTGAACTCTAATCCTTTTAGTTAACAGATGTACTTTATTGATCCCAGGCTGGGAAATTACAGCTCCTGATGTAAATATATGTCACTCTGCCTTTAGTTTTGGAGAAGAAAAAAAGAAATTTAGGTCTGACTTGCGTCTGCCTGGTGTGCTGTGTTTGCTTTCTCATATGGCTCTAATTTTCTAAGCCAGGCTTTTGTGACTAACAACACCCTTCTGCCTGAATTTGTGTCACATAAAGTGGTGATGTCACACCATGATCCTCGACAACATTAAAGGCCCCACATCTAAACTGTTTTCGTTTGCTACAAAGTGCAGGCCAAAACAACTTAGAATCATTGGCTATTTGTGAACGTAACAGAAGTATCTTCTTCAATAGAATACAATTTTATTTATAACATTTTATCTGATTTAGAGGCAAAAAGCAAGATTCAAACTGGTTGCAAGATAATGTTGGAATTGTTCCCCTTAATGTGAGTCTTATCAAAGAGTCCAGCTGTCAGTCACACACCGTGTCCCTTCCCCACCTGCAAGGGATGCTATATTTTTTTCTCCCCTCATTAGGTGTATCCAGAGCAGAAGTCTACATAGTGACAAACGATTGGGTACAGTTCGTACTATGCCAGATACATTTCCTAATACTTTTCTTAATGCAAACATCGAATGATTAGTGGATTTGAAACTGGAGCTGCTGCATAGTGGGGCAAGAATTCCTACCACAGTGCCCCCTGAGGGGTTGCTATAGATTTGCAGTAAAAACACTGCTAAACAGTATATTCTTTACAAAAGGTATGTTTAAACCATTGTGTGGCAGTCAACAGTCATTTAGTGCACCTATCACTAAAGCACCAATCTGCAGGATGGGGACATGAACACCAGGAGTGGGGTTAAAAAGGGTTCCAAAATGAACTTCCACAGAATCAACTTAGCATATTACTCTAACAGGCAATACCTAGACTCTCACACACACTTTCAGTCTCCTGCGTTAGAAGTAAAACCTTGTCCTGAAACCTCACAATGTCCAATTCCATACTTCCTAAGAAAAGAAAGAATAATCAGATGCTTTATTTGAGAACATCCATCAATACACAACATTTATCACATTATTTGTGTTAGGTAAATCAATATTCTGTTTGTATATTCAATTAGATTTCACTTTTATATAGGAAATGTGATTGTATTGCTCAGTTCATATGTTTAGGGCATCATTTAATACACATTTTTTATTATTTGGTTAGTTGTGTATATCTGATGGCAATGTGAATAATATAAATATATGATCTATATAGCAAATATTTGCATATATATATATATATATTTATTTATTTTTTCAGCAGAGTAATGTTTGTATGTATGTATCTGTGATACACCTGCGGAGAATCCTTCCCCAGTTTCCGTTGTGTTTTAACCGAACATAATGACAATAAAGACTTATATTCTATTCTATTTAGAAAATATATTAAACATTAAAATGAAATCAGGAGCTACGTCAGTCTAGGGAACGTGACGTAGGCAGCGTAGCGCCTCGGTTGTTGCAGAGTCACTGCGACTGTTTGACTGTAAACAAGAGCAAAGTCAGAAAAGGCCGCGATCGCCGTACAGCATACCTTTGTGATTTTTCTCGATTACTTGCATATTAAAAATCCAGATATTCCGTATTATCAGAAACAAGTAGTTTTTTAAAACGTGAATGTTGTTTTTATGTAATTTTCTCCTTCGATGCGTTTAGCTACTTATAGTAGCCATTAGCCTCCTTGGCTAACAAACGGTTGAGAACCTTGAGCGACACACTTTATGTCCCTGGGTTTTCTTTCTCCACAGCGAACGGGATTTCCTGAACCGTGAGTAACAGCTGTGGCATGTTCAAATTATTTTAAATCGGCAAAGAATATGTATCGCTACCTTTGATAGCTTAGCTCACCAGCTATGGTAGCTCGTTAGCATTAGCCAGGAGGGTGGGAGAGCTTATGAAACGCTGGTGTTTACCAGTGTCACTTGTTCCAAGCTTCTAACTAAAGAGAAATAAATGGACAGAACCGATCCTTGGCAAACTTTGTATGAATATTTTCTGACATACTTCTATTCCTGGTCTATGTTATACTCTATCATAACTGTTTTTTATTTGAATAGGGTATTTTATAATCAAAACAACTGCACCAACATACAGAATAAAAAATAAAATCTAAATAGTTAAATTTATCACAGCCATCACACCAAGAGTATTCGTGAGTAAAATATCAACTAAATAAGCAGAATAAAGTGAGGATCACCAGTAAAACTAGATGCTTTTCTGAAATCAACACTTTCCAGGTTCTGCCAGGGGCTGGGAGTTTAGACTGTAGGTGTACAGTACTTGAATTTAGGAATGACAGGTGACAGTTATTTTTTCTACCCTTTATACCCTTTCTGCCCCAGTTGCGGCTCCACTGAAGAAAAATAAAATCAATAATTGATGGTTGCTCTTAATACAACTATTATTTTCAATTTATATTTTACAAATATCTTGGTAATGTCATTGATCTTCTATTCTAAGAAACCTAAACAAATCATAATCTCTTGAGTCTTTTAGTGTTATGACTGTAAAATAACATCCTGTCTGATTAGTTGTGGGCTGATAATGTAATTCAAGCTGATTCATTAATGCAATAAGCAGAAAGCCTCCAATCTCCTTGCTTCCCTGATGTCATAATCAGGATCTTTAGCATTTGAGCTAAAAACAGCTAACTTTACCCAACACATCACTTAATCACCGGTCTGGATGTTTCACCTTGGTGGAGGAGCATGTCACCGCTGCAATGTTTTCTGTATCTTTACAAAATGAATATGGAGCAGTGATAAATCACAAAATATATGCATAAGTTACATTTTTTGTAAGGTGTTAGGATGTAGTTGGATGTGACTTATTTAGTAACACCAAAATTTGTTATTGTGACAGGCCAATGTGGTCCCATATTACGCATCCACAATGGCCCAAAATCTCCCATAACTCTTGTAAGCATTTCTTTGAAAGGGGTGAATGTTTTAAATTTGGCATCAGTACGAACAGAAGAACTATATCAACAATCCTCCTATTTTGCTAAATATTTTCACCTATGTAGTAAGTACTTGAAGTGAACTGCAATTTGTTAACCTAGGTACACTGCTGAGTGTTGTCAGAGTTGGGTGAGAAGGTAAAGTTAGAGATGTCCTGAATAGAGGCATGCAGCTGTTTCTTAATATTAAAAAATAGCCAAAGACTGCAGTTGTTTGGCTTTGGCTATGAGACATTACCATGCAAATTTCCAGATATTTGACGGTAATAATTTTACCAGTCAGAAACTGAAATGAACTAGATGGTTTTTTTTCTTCAGTTGCGGCTCCCAGGTGCACATTTTCTTAACTGCAGAGATTACAAACTGTTGTTTGCTTTGTGTGTTATGTTATAGCTGGGAGGCTGGTCAGCACGGCCTCCTCCCACTATGGAGGCAGGAGGGAAGGACTGTGAGGAGGAAACACTGCAGACGGCATTCAAGAAGCTCCGGGTGGATGTTGAGTGGTAAGAACTTTCATGTACCCCAAAGCCTCTAGAAATATGCCTGATGTTTTAAAAAAAAATTCAGATTTGAAAAGACATTATTGACAGCTTCAATAACAAGTACTTTTGGATGTTTTTAGAAACCAGTTTTGTCATTGTTGTAGAGAAATCAATACAATTACAGTAGTACAGTGTGCAACTTGTGTTGGTTGACAGCACATATGGCCTGTGTGTTGTTAATTACAGTATTTTTCTTTTCAAATTTTCTCTTTCATCAGTGTAACTGGAGCTGTGAATGCTTCTGAGGTGCTGGCTCCCAGAGTGACACAAAGACCCGGTCTTGATGCCAGTGGAGCAAAGCCAAAGCTGAGTTGTTCCAAAGACAACTGGCATGGGTAGGTAGTGGCAGATGTTGCGTTGTTGTGTCTAGTAAATGATAAAAAAAAATGTTGACAATTATTGTTATTATTGTTATTGAAGCTCTGTATTACTTTTCAGCTTTCAAATCTTCACTGTGGCCAGTTAAAGGTGTTGCTGTTGCTTCTTTTTCGTATTCAGTAACAATTTTCAGCCTTGTAAAAACCAGCTCACCTAACTGAACATGTGATCAGGTTAAATACACTAGCTACTCTGTATTTGTAACAGTATAACAAACTTGATATTAAAAAATGTCTCTGGGGTCACCAGAATGTGTGATGTAAAATGGTCAAGAAAGGTTGTGGACCACTGCAAAAATAGAAAACATCAAGTTGCTCAAATAGAGCATCAAGCAGGTTAAGGCACATATCAGTATTCATAAATATAAAAAGGAACTAAATTAAGATATTTTATCATCACCTCACAGCTCATCTGTAGCATTAGAATCACTAACATTGACTTTTTCCCTCAATGTTTTGTCCACATTGTGTAACTTTCACTACTGTCCTGTGTCTCTGTCTTCAGATGTACAAGGAAAACATCCAGAGGAGCAGCAAGATCTCAACGCCGTCGGAGATCCAAGTCCCCCATCCTCCACCCACCAAAGTTCACATATTGTAGCGCTGCTCCGTCTTCTTCACTGTCCACCTCTATTGTCTGCATAAAGCACCAGAGTTTGGCTGTGGCCAAGCCTGAAGAGCTATGTCCTTTGGCTGTCGGGAGGTCAGCCTCCTCAGCTGCACTTTCAGCTGAAAATAAGCTCTCTTCTTCAGTCACAGTGGGCAACATCTGTCCGGTGGTTTTTGGATCTTCTGGTTGCAGTGAGACACTTGTTGGAGGCATGACTTCCAAACCATCCCAGCAAGAGGTCGCCACTGCAATCTCTCCTGTTGCAGGGCATGACAGCACCATCTCTGGAAGTGTACGGTCAAGCAAGGAAGGTGACCTGGAGAAAAGTATCTGTGGTCTAGGTGCAACATCAGGAACACCTCAAAAAATTGGATCAACAGAGGCTGCCGACTTCAAAGCTCTATCAGAGTTGCACTGTTCTACCAACGCCACCCAAACTCCGTGCTGCTGCCCCAAGCAGAGAAGCACATGTTACTCCCAGGAAGCAAAAATCCCCAGTTCTGAAAGTCAGTGCGAGTGCCAGTCAGGTCACCACGGCTGGCAGGGCATGGAGGTGTACTCTTTCACAGGTCTTCGCAATGTCATCTCAGAGTGTGAGCACAGCCTGCAGAGTCACAGCGACGCATCCAGAACTCACAATGCTAACACTGTTTCATCTGCATCGTCATCACCACTGGTGTCTGGCTCACCCCGCTCCTGTTCAGAACAGGCACGCAGCTACGTAGATGATATTACAATAGAGGACCTCTCTGGATACATGGAGTATTATCTCTACATCCCCAAGAAAATGTCACACATGGCAGAGATGATGTACACTTAGAAACTGTCACAAAAAACTGGTGTTGAAATATTAAATAGATAAAAGGATGCGGAATGTCGCTGGGGTCCAGGCACGAATGTCAAACATTAAATTAACAACACTTTAAAACTTAATTCAACTTTTTTATGGACGCCCTGTTCGCTACAAATGTTGATGACACTTCATTACTGCCAATGATCGTCACTGTTTTTGACTTCAACTACTTCTTTGTGTTGGATCATTTTCTTTTGTTTTTGGTAATTTAACTTAGTTTACATATGAAGTTTGCCAACCCTCGGTGCAGCATTGAGCAGAATGTTTAAAGTTGTGTGTGAACATGTTTGTTGTGTCTAAACTTAAACTTTCCTTTAATAAAGATGCAAAATTGTTTGGCTTGAAAAGGTGTCATTATTTCTTTAGCCAAAACTGGTTGTGACTTGTTTGTTTACCATCTACATCTTGGTAGTAGTGCAGATAGTGGAAGCTTTAAAGTCCATGCATTAAACAAATGTAGTATCTCTACTACCTAGTAGCATTACTATGGCAACTGTAGCTTTCCTTCCTGTAATACAGAAGGTACAGATTGTAGCACAGTAGCATTACCAACACAGATATAAATGATGATCCAACCACTTGTGCTTTATATTTACTTACTATAGACTTGGACTTACTTACTATTCTGGTTTTTCCACCTATCATTTGACAAATATTTAGCGAAACCTATTAAATTTATTTATTTATTGACACATGCTGTGCAGGACGCATGACAGAACTGATTCTGGTAGACAAACTATTTCATGTATAATAGCAAAAAATAGTGAAGATTGCTATCATTCTTAAAAATAACTCGGAATCACAGTGTGTCATTTTGTGTGATTTCCAATTTTTTGTTACATTTAAATTTGTGGGATAATTTGCTTTGATGACGATGTACTCATTTGATATATACAGTAAAACTTTCAGCCACATGAGGGAGCTCATTCATTTTCCAGGACAGCCATGGTTTTTGGTCGTTAATAAACGCCTCAACTTCTGTTCACATAAATGCGAGTCAGTGTTGATAGTTTTGTTAAATAAGACTGTAGTTAGTGTCTGTCAAATTAACATATGACAGACATGACGGTCAACATCTAAATGTAAATTAGGACTAAGTTAGAAGGGCCATAACAGAGCCGCGCGGAGCTGGACAAACGTTTCCCTGTAGAAATATGTGGCACATGGACTCCTACGTCATGAGGACGCTTCGTCATTTCAAACCACGAAGGACGCGTCGTAAGTTTGTTAGACATACATATTAGGTTGTCTGAGATTAGGCACAGACTGCGAAACAGAGAATGGCTGTGTAAAGTTTAAAGTGTGGGCTCGCGGACAAAGAACGGATTGTTCCTGCGATTTAAAATGAAGATGCGCCTCCTCTCTCTTCCTCTGTCATTTCGTTCTAATGTACGTTAAAATGCATCTAAATATGATAACATTAGATATTCCTATCGTCCTTCATTCTTTCCAACGCGATTTATGTCTTGCACGGACAGAGTTAAGTAGAAAAATAAGTTGACGTTACACTGTTAGGTTCTGCCCAATCAGAATCAAGAAGTATTGTCCCTACCCTTTCCTTAATTTGAAATGTCATATTTTCTCTAATGTTGTTGTGCTTAATGAAATGTCCTTGAGTTTTGAACTTTTATAGACACGCCCTAATGACTCAGTCCACCTCAGACGTTAGTGTTAGCACACACTCACACACGCTGAGGTTTACGTACGCGCTGGCACACCCTCATGCCCCCTTAATCCTAATTCTGAGGCCATATAAAAAAAATCCAATTTCAAGGATAGTATATAAGAAACACACCAGAAATATTGGCTCAACCACAGAAACATTGCTGAGGCCAAGCCTCAAATCCAGAATCCAGAAAATTAACATTTAACATTTTATCCCTCACTTTTCAATTCATTATCCATTAATCCCTAGTACAGAGCTGCATGTAGGATTACACCTCTGAAGCATTTAATGCCTTATTTCATGGTGTAAATGTAGACAGCCAGTACATACAAAATAAAGCATTTAATTGAGAGACAAAAGCTTGTTTTTTTTGTGTTTTCTAAACCGGAAACAAACTAGAGGACAAGGTTCATGACTTTCTCACAGCTCTGCCTGTAATGATGATGATGAAGATGTTTGTTTCTGGGAGGCCTGTTCTTCATCCCAGTACTTGCTTCTTGTGCTCGACCTCCGACCTCTGTGCCTGGGTGTTTGGAGGTGTTCTGGTGCAACAGAGGACACGGTTATTTGAGGCCACCGGTTTTAAACGCTTCCACATGTTTCTGCTCATTTCAGAGAATCTGAACGTGTGGGAACAAACAAGACCTGGGGCACGACAACATCATCATCATCATCATCATGACAAAGTTTTGCAAAGGTTGTGTAGAGGGATAGTTGGTTGAACTGTGATAGTGAAAGCAAAATAAATATCTGTCATTTGTCTGTAAAAGACTTCATCATGATATATTCACTGTAAAATTTATATAAAACAACAATGTTGATGCAAGGCCTCCTGTGTTTTGTAAGCTCTTTCCATGAACATAGTTCATTTTCTAGCCATTTACCCTAACTTTACCAATGAATACACAGCTGATCTAAATTCTTACACTAACTCTAAACACACATTAATAATAATAATTAATAATCCCAACTCCAAATTTAATCTTCAAAATGCTCTCAGTGAGGAACTACAAAACATCTCCAGAACAGAATAAAGCCTCTCCTCAACAGTCGTATTTATCCAATAAATGTCCAAACACGTACAGCTGTAGGATCTGTAACTGTACACAGGACATAGAACATAGATCTCACAAATATTTCACGTATTTAAATAAAATCTATTTTTATTGGCCTATCACCCATTATAATATATGAAAGAAGTTCTTTGACATATGTCTGTTAAAATAAAACTTAAATTAAACAAACCGGCTTGTAAAAGGGAAAACAAGTTGCAATCTACAGCGCCACCAGTAGATGGCACTACTTCTTACACCCTGAACTCTCAAAACAAACTACAAACTACAGTTGGATGGTGTGCTCTAAATAAGCCAAGAGCTAATTGTAATGTTTTTTTTTTCCTGATGTGGACTGGCTGTTTGTGAATCTGTCTGTGTATACACATCCATGACTGCTCTGCTAACTGCAGTCATACTAATGGTCAGCAGGTTGCTCAGTGGTTAATGGATTGAGCTAGTGTTTGGTGGATCGTTTAAATTCCATGAATGACACCACTGTGGACTGTTGAGCAAGCACTGAAAAAAAAGCACATGCACACAAACAGCCAGAAGCTACTAAACTGTGTTATGTAGGAGCTAACTACATGGTATAGCATGCTATCTAACTATCAAAGCACAGCCAACATTTTAGTACTACAGAAAGAGAGCCTTTCAGTGTTGGTCCCAGTAGCTAACAGAAACCAGTGCAGGTGTTTCTGCCTAACATTTTAATGCTTCTTGTGATGAAACACACACAAACACAGAGAAAGGGAGTGAGCGAGAAGGTATTGTATTACTTTGACTACATGCATGAAGAATGCTGACCTTACCTCCTGAAGTTTCCCCAGAGGGCGGAGTCTCTCTAAAAGCCTGTCGTCAGATTAGGGTTTACACCCAGACCCCCTCAGACACTGAACCCTGGAGGCCCGCTCTGGATGAACTGTACACACAATCACACATGGAGCTTATTTAGCTACACACAAACACACATAAACACACGCCCTCTTGATATACACTGATGTAAGACTGAAAAAATATCACCGCAGGAAATGTAACAAATGAAATGTAACAAAGTGCATGCCAGCAACTGTCATATAACATCAGGAGAAGCGGGTCATTTTCGAGCCAAGATGTCGGTTTGAAAATGAAAAGACGACTTTGTAAAGATCTCACAAATAAGAAACCAAAAAGATAAAGAATGACTTCATTCAGCACAGTTAGCCTGAACGCCACACCTGACGTTGATGCAACCTATTGTCTTTGTAGGAAATGGCTTTAAATTTCAGACACGCACAGCGATTCAATTTTTGTACAACGTGTGACCGTGGTTCTCTGTCTTAATTTAGTCACGTCACCTCAGAGCAGCTCTTCACTTTTGCATTTCATTATGTCAATAAATGACTTTGCAGAACCTGTTCAGGACTTAGCACCAAATGTGCCACGTTCCAGTTGAAGAACGGTGCCGACATTGACCTCTTTTTGTCCTCTGTTAAAACCTTCGACCTAATGACTTGCTAAACACCTGGAAAATACTTTCAAGGTAAGGGTAGGAACCCTGTGCTAAGAGAGGCTTCAAGGAAAATGAGATGAACTTACACTGTGTCTATTGATGATGCAGAAAAGCTGTGACTCCGATGTCTAAGCTCTACACCCTTTCTACAGATATGTGCCAAACACTCACACACTTTTACACCGTCTGTTAATGCAGGATTTTACACCTGTGTAATGCCTTACTGTGCTGTGTCGACAGTGTGATCAAGAACACTGGACACAGACTTTATCACTGACGTTCCGTTGACACAGAGGTATCCGTTGCAAAGGTGCAACAATCACCTCTGTGCAAACAGTGGTGATAAAAAAGGCAGCGCCACCACTGTGACGTGCTGATGATGTGCATCACACTATTTCAGGGGTTTAAAATAGCAGAGAGCGTCCCTGGCAGACAAAGACAGAGACCTGGATTAGGAAATAGTTCACATTAAGAAGCAGAACAACATTCTCTTCTTACATGGTGTGTATCATTTACGTCACATGCCATGGTGATCCAGTGGCACACCCGTCCTACCTTTTGTTCTGCAAAAGTTCATCAGTGTGGAAGACTCACAAACTGGAGCAAAAGCTTTTTTAATTTAGTTCTGTGTAAACGCACGTTACGGAATTAGGGCCGCATGGAGAAAAAAAAAATAAAATAAAGTCAATAGAATGTGAGAATCAAATTGTTATGTTACACTACGGTAAATCTTGGCTTTTATGGTTAATGCCATGTGCTTTTCTTTTGTCTCCCTCAAACACATCATCTAAACTTTAAACTTTTATATTTTAAAATTATGACTTTATTGTCATAAATTAAAGTTTTTTTCTCGTTACATTAGAACCTTTTCCTTATCTTTTTGTAGCATTTCAATAATAACCTTTCGACTTTACTCGCATAAATTTACAACTTTCCTCCTGTAATTTTATTTTATTTTTTTCTGATACTTACTGATACTACAGAAATTCAATGCAAGGTGTTTCGATTGCCACTTGGCTTTGTGATTTCCTTCCAGTTATAACCCAGTATTTAATGCTCTACATGTTACCTGTCGCCCTCCACTGCTCTGGGACTGTATGGATCTAACAGACAGGAACCTGTAG